GTCCAGTACACCTGAGACCAACCAGCTGCCATCTCAGCCATTCCTGCTACTGTTCCCAAGTCAGAGTGAATTGTTCCCATCTAGGAACACCTGCATCAATTACTGAGACACTTTCTACCCATTAAATCTGAGTATTATTTCTGCTAATAGAATGTAGACTCACTGCTAAGTTTTATATACTACAGTAATAAGTGAGACATGTAATAAAAGCTCACACATATAATCACAGCATTTGGGAGGCTTAGGCTGGAAGATCACCACAAGTTAAAGACCAGCCTGTCCACATTGCACTTATATATCTGTCTGTCTGTCTATCTATCTACAGATAAGATAGATAAAGGTGCTGTAGATTCATCCAATGGAACTAACAGGTGAACTGGTATCTAAAACTTTGGATTTCTGCTGAAGAAGTGCAAAGGTTCTAAGAGTCAGAGGATTAAGAAGTTTGTTGTCAGATTGTATCTTCTAGAAATGTCAAAAGCTTCATCCACAAATTCTTAACAACACAACTGCTTAAGATGATCTGAACAAGGACAACACCAACAGGAATGACAAACTCAAGGGGAAAGACCACAAAGCCTCAACCCTATACAAAACAAAACAAAACAAAAACAACAACAACAAAAAACTACAGGGGAAGAAATAGTATTACCCAGGGACAAGCACATCAACTGGCTATTCAATACCAAATAGTCAGCACTGAAAACATACAGATAAGTAACATTATATAGGCTGAGCAGGTTGTACTTATGTATTTAGGAGTGTATATGTACGTGTGTACATACATATAAACATATATGTATGCTATAATGATCAATTTAAAAAGTCATAAATTTGTAAGAGAGTAAGGTGTGGTGTATGGGAGGATTTGGAGGCAGAACAGGGAAAAGAGAAATGCTACACTTATTGTAATCTTAGAAAATAAAATAAAAATTAAAGAGCAAAACAGCATAAATAATTTGAATGAAGAATTATAAAAGGATTAAAAGTAAACCATGTAAAGTTATGGTAGCAGAGATATGACTTAATTTTGAATAATACTCATTTGTCTGTCTTATCCATGTACTTAGAATATTTATTTGTATAGAATTCTAAGCTGGCTCAATGATTAAAAGAAAGCAATTCATGAAAATACCTACCTTAAGTCACGCTTGGTAAGTTTACTCAGGTTAGTCTTCCCCCTTAAGAGTCTATGTTGCGAAGGTGGCTTCTTAAATAATTGTGAGGTTTGGATGGATCCACCTATGCTAACAACAGGAACCTGCTCTGGGTCTTTTTTCCCTCTTGGTAAGCATGCTGCCAGAGAGCTGTAACTTAGGTCTAGGTAGGATTTTATAAAGCTGATATCACATTTTCAAAAGTTCTGGGGCAAAAAAAGACCAGAAATGTCCCAGTCATCCTTTTTATAGTGTGACAAACTCCAAACTTTAAAAGTTTTATGTCAATATGGTGTGTGACAATTCTGTATTCTGTCAATTATGTTTTAAATAAATGCTGTTGGCCAGTAGCCAGTCAGGAAGTATAGGTGGGACAACCAGACAGGAAGTAGAGATGGGGCAATGAGAACAGGAGAATTCTGGGAAGGAGGAAGCCCATTCCTCCCCAGTCCTCTCCAGACACCGAAGAAGCAGGATGTGACCTGCCCTGCTGAAAAAGGTACTGAGCCATGTGGCTAACATAGATAAGAATAATTGGTTAACATAGGTTATAAGAGCTAATACAAAGTCTGAGCTAATGGGCCAATCAGTTTATAACTTATGGAGACCTCTATGTGATTTTCTTTGGGATTTATCAGCTGTGGGAACAGGGCAGGACAGAAACCCCAACAAGCAGGCCCCTAGGTTACATCTGTTCTTTGATGGCTAGCTTTTATTTCCTCTTTAAGGCACAGTACAACACAAGCCACAGTCACCAGCCTGCTGCAAAGCCCGCTCCATCCACTGCTGCACCAATAGCAGTCGCCACCACTGAATGCAGCTCTTTCTAACAACTGAAACAGGAAGGGGAGTGCTATATTTCTCAACTCATCTACTTCAGGAATCTGTACCTTCAAAAGGTGAATGGAGCTCCTAGAAGGTTTGGTCTAAAGAATGGAAGCAATACAAAGGGAACAGTAAGAAATAGACAGAAAGACTAAAGTGGGAAAACACCAATCAAAAGAGAAATAAATAGGAAGCATCCAAATGCTTTTGGATTCCTTTAATTTTATCTCAAATACAATTTAAAGAAGGACCTTTATTAATAATTAGAATTTTGTACAACCCTAGTATTTTTAATTATATATGTAATATGCACAAACAAACCTATATATGTATGTGTATCTACATATAGATACACATGCATGTAAAAACGCTATTATAAAATTGAATGCACTAACAGACTTAGCAAAGGGAAGGGAAAAACTTCATTTTCTAGTGCTCCCATTCATGAATTCTGTCAGCCGACAAGAAAGAACAATACTATGTAGTAAAAACACACAAATGTGAAGCTGGGGATGTAGCTCAGCTGGTGCTTCCCTAGTAAAGTATGCTGGACTCTGGATTTAATCTACATCAACACAAACAAACACATACACACAGAGAAAGAGAGAGAGTAGAGAATGGACATAGGAACACTTTTGCTACTTTGTGTCATCTTTGTTTCTTATTTAAAAAATTAACATATATCAATCCTCAAAAAGTACATAATCATTAATTCTGGTAACCTTAATTAATAAAAATGTGGAATCCCAAGTTTACTATTTTTAAGTTTCTTTTTTTTCCTGTTTTGCTTAAGTCTAATAGCCCAGTAGCCATATAAAACTGGGCCATTTGCCTATTTCTGTTTCCCCTAGAAAAGCAGAAGTTGCTAGAATACCTGGATACACTGATTCTAATAACAGAATGATTCCCTTTTTTGTTTATTTTATAGACAGGGTTTCTCTATATAGTCCTGGTTGTCTTGGAACTCAACCCGGCAGGCCCCACACTGGGAAACCTTCCTGCCTCTGCCTCCCAAATGCTGGTATTAAAGGTGTATGCCACCACCATCCAGTTTGCACTGATCACTGGCATACTGCATAATCATCCCTACTTCCTTACAATAAAACTGGCTTCGTCCTTGATGATCCATAACTTCTACAGCTTCATATGGTTTGAGTGTGCTCCTCATGCGTAGTTGTGATATATTTAATACCTACTGTGATATAAAATTTCAAGATACCTTCACTATTTATCTCTGTTCACTACTCTGAACACCTTTATTATTACTATCTCTCTCACCTATGTCTAGAAAAAGTAATTCCTAAGTCTGTTTGATAGTTTCTGAAACCCTTTAATAGCACAAATTACTTATATTTGCAGGATTTAATTCACCTTTCTTTTTACTCTCGCCTCCTTCAAGTCCTAGAGCAATCATCAAAATGAGTGGTTAAGCCCAGTAACAATGGATATACCTACAAAACACTCCCCCACCAAAGGCTCAAGGAAAACTGCCAGAGTGAAATGATTGCAGGAGCAAGAGGATCAGGGAATTTTTACATTAATATAAAGTCACCCTGCATGAATCCTAAGAAAGCAGGAACCTGCGGGATATGCCCAGCAGTGCAATAGTGACTGTCCCAAAGACAGCCAACGGCTTTTAGACTGGCCTCTCCAGAGAGGAATGCACGCCTGATATTACAAACATACTAAACAAACAAGCAAACAGAAAACCCACAAAGCCAGAAGCTAAGGAGCATAGGGCCTAATTGGGGATTCACTACTGTTGCTTAATAAATTGACATGGAACCAAACTGTATTCTATACACCTGTTTATACCAATAGGCAAATATCACTCTTATCCATAATTACAGATATATCTCTTTCAAAGAACAGCAGTGAATGCAGTCATGGCTGCTCAAGGTGCTATTAATAAGTGGTAGCTGAAAGCTCACCCCTAAGCACAACATTTAAACTACCCCAGAAGGCTCAGGAAACATTTCACAAGACTGAGTGGAAGGAATGCAACAGGTGGAAGATACAAAAAAGGACTATGAATTGCTGCCTTCAGGGCATGACAGCCACTGCACAGAATGGCTTGAGTCATCTGCACCAAGCATGTGTAACACTGGGCCTGTCAACAGCCAGTGGCGAACTGCGGCCACAGTCCTCTCTGATGAGCTACTGGCTCCTGAACAATTCTCACGAAGGCACAGTCATTCTTCTGAGTTATGGACCTAACTGCGAGACCACCATGCTCAATGGGTTATTGTATACCTGTGTTCACACACGGTGCAGATTAAACTTAAGTGCACTGGAACCAAAACAAAAAGGCATAAATGTGGGCATGGTTGGGGATCTCCAGAAGAGAGAACAAGGAAGGGAGTGAGGTTAGGAAGAATGTACTACACACAAGTATGACACTTGATTAAATAAGTTTAATCAAGTAAATGAATGAGTTCTGTGCTCTCAGATTTACATGATTCTAGAATCTAACTTTTCTTCACAAGAAATCCCTCTTTCTCTTAGCATATTTTGCCCACATGCTGTAACCCTTGTAGCCTCTTCTCATTCTATCTGTGCTGATAATAATCATAACAAGTGCCTTCGGAAAGATCCTAGCATGTCATGAGACTAGATCTGAACACAGACATCACAGCTACATGAGTTGACAAAACCTGCACTCTTAGAGTTCTGTCAGGAAGTACTATTTGCAAATCAAATAAATCAAACAACAAACAAAACCATTTACGAATATAAAAATAAAAGCAAGCTTACTAAATACTTCTCAAACACAAACATATGCAAAAATAATGAATACCGCAAGAATGAAAAATTCAAACCCCAAATACTGCAAAGAAATTTGCAAAAGGCGGCTCATTTTAGGGAATGTATAATATTGGTTATATGCACTTTAGCAAAGGCATGTGAATGAGATTGGGGGTCTAGGCAGGACAGAGGACATCATTAAACACAGTGTAAAATATCATACGTCAGTTATGTGAGCAAAGCTATGCATCACTATTTAACTACGGTACCAACTTACCTTCGAGGATGATTGGCATCGAACAATGTGTTGTCATCATCCTCATCATCTTGTTCTAAAGGTGTCAATTCCATGTTTTCTATGTTAGTGTCCAAAACTCCGTATCTCCTAGTTTTGCGGTTTCTTCTTCTCATCCTATTAAAGAGAACAAATAAATTAATAAAAGTATTTTAATATAGCCTAATCATCACCTCAAATGTAGTTGTAAATTAAACAAATTAGTCCACGTTTCCTCCCAAGCACACACTCAGTACAAAAATGATTACAATCAGGAGTATGAAAACAATTAATTTAGCACCAAAGATCATAGGTAGTTCATTAAATAAACCTATTCCTATATATCTGTATGGCAACATTTCTCCTGTCTAGCACACTCTCTACTCTTTTAACCCTCTGTGAACTGAAGTTAAGAGATAATATATTATTTTTATTTATGAATATGTGAGTGAATGAAACTCGTGTGGATGCCCACGTAGGCCAGAAGGATGAGGGTGTCATAGCCCTTGCAGCTGTAGTTACTGCTGGGTAACATGGTAACATGGGCACATGGGTGCTGGGAACTGAACTCAAGGTCCCGTGGATGAGCAGCAGTGCTTTAACTGCTGAGCCATCTGTCCAGTCCCAAAAGATAATTCCTAAGCCTTACGTCAGATATTAAAATTTCCTGAAGCCTTCAATCCGGCCTTTATCTCATATCCTTGATGCACTCTTATTGATAGACACATTAAGCATTGCTGCTACCATGAAGAAGTTACATTTAGATAACGGAAGGTCCTAGACATACACTCAAATTTAGATTAATGGTTCAGAACCTGGACTACCCATCAGAATCACCCGGGATTTTTTAAATGATCACACTATGGCCATAATTAAACCAAAATGTCAGGAGTAAAGACCAGGAGTCACTAAGCTGGTGATTTCTGACTCACTGATCTGAAACTATGAACTTGTATTCAATGCCCAAGTTGATTCCAATGCAAAAGCTTCACCACTCTATGTAGTAGGCAGTCCTCCACAGAAACTTTGCGGAGATTAGAAACAAAATATTTCAGCATGTGATCACAAATGAAATTTCTTTTACTTAAACACTAATTTACTCAGCTTAAGATAACAATGCTTATTTATATTTAGAATATTCACTTCAGCACCAGTGGCAGAGTAATAGAAACGTCTTCAAAAGGAACTCTGGGAACCCAGAAAGAAAAGTACCCATACATTTACATAAACATATATTAAAATTAATGTTTGAATTGTATTAACCAATAAACACTATATTAGTTTTTGATTATAAAAAATCTATTCTCAGCAATCAAAATTTATAAGATATAACTATGGAGAAAAATAAAATTTCTAAAAGTCATTCTTGACTTATCTTTATATCTAACCAAAAGTGATGGACTAAGAAATTGGTTTCAGTACAGTATTTAACATCACATATCTAACCATTATAAAACCCAGTAGTTTAACTAGGAAGAACAGGACAGAGTGAGGTATAAAGAAGCATTTTATTGTAAGAAATTGCAAGCTTAAACTAACAAATTTACAGTGCATGTATAAATCAACATACACAAATACATGTATGTCTGCATGCATTCAAACATATCATCAAAGAAAATCCTAAATTTTTCCTGTTATTTAGGTTTTATGGGGCAATATGATTTCTGTCACATCTTTGTCTTAGTATTTTGTTTTATTTATTACTTTTTAAAAAATTCTTGTATCTAGGACTTTACAAAAACTTGCTCGCAGATGGAATTTAGCTTGCTTACCAAGGTTAAATTTAGACTTAATAAAGTACTTGACAGAAAAATTAAAAACATCACTTTGGAAAGAAGAGGAAAAAGTTAAGGAAAGTAGTTCACTATTGATCCGTTCCCGTTTCCCTTAACGATTGGCAATTACAATGCTCTCCAAATATCTGTGATGTTTCCTGTGTTGTCCTGTGATTTGAAAGAGTACACACAGTGTCAAGCCTTCCATAGTACAAGCTGTGGACAATGACAGTTCTAATGGAGCCTCTTCTCTTTGGCAAGTCTTTCAGGGGTTTTTCTAAATCACATGACTTCCTGGTGAATGAGTTTCGGTCAATGAGGAACTTAATGTCATATATGAAGTTATCTTGGGTTATAAACTAAATTCTCTCAGGTCATGTACGTCCAGTGGGCAACATGTTAGTAGCCTGGATTAACCTCAGCTAACCCTTTATCTAGAATAAAAGTCATCACTAATGAATGATTTCTTAATCTTTAGCAAACAGAAAAATGTATCCGTCTAACATTATATCCCATTCCAGGGTGTGATATAAACACCTGCCTGCATGGATCACAGAATGTTGTCATTTGTTCCAGTTATGTATTCTCTAGGCATATTCTCACTCTCGTTTACATTGCAGATTTATTAAGTGACATATCTAAATATTACCTGTCGAAAACTCTTGAAAAGAAGAACCCATTTCATAAACAGAGATAGGATAGTTAAGTACTAAACATTAAAAAGTGGGCGGGAGAAGTGTGTCCCCGCCCTGCTGGCCAGACGCCTCAGGAAGGGAGCACAGGCACCCTCCAATCCCCTAAACTCTCTGGCCATTCGGTGGGGCTTCTCCCCAGTTGCTGGCTTTCTCTACATATCCCACCCCAGCTTGCCCCCAAGCACCCTTTTCCATCTGTGGGGTCCTAGAATCCCCCTACTCAGCCTGCTTTGGGGTTGAGGGTCTGGGGACACAGTGGTGAGTGCAAGGATGCAGGGGTTTCTTTGTTCCACTGAGCCAGCACCTACCAAACTCACCCTTTTGTCTGAGAGGTCCCTTAGCCAGCAAGTGGGCCGGATCTAGTACCAGTAGATCCATCCGGAGGGATCCACCACCACAGCCTACTTCAGGTAGAGGATCTGAGAGTCAACCCCAGTGCTGAGGGGACATAAGAGAGGGCAAGCAAAGAAAATCCCCCAAGTATACAGTTAGCCACTGCAAAGATCAGACCAAACCACCAAGACATGGATCAAAGACCCAGATATAAATCCACAAACCAATGAACACCTTATTCTCGACAGAAAACTCAAGTCCAAATGGATTAAAGACCTCAATATAAATCTGACCACATTGAACCTGATAGAAGAGAAAGTGGGAAGTACACTGCAACATAGGGGCACAGGAGACCACCTCCTATGCATAACCCCAGTAGCACAGACAATGAGAGCAACAATGAATAAATGAGACCTGCTGAAACTAAGAAGCTTCTGTAAAGCAAAAAACACTGTCATTAAGACAAAAAGGCATCCTATTGAATGGGAAAAGTTCTTTACCAACCCCACATCAGACAAAGGTCTGATCTCCAAAATATACAAAGAATTCAAGAAACTAGACATTGAAATTCTAATTAACCCAATTAAAAAACAGGGTATAAAACTGAATAGAGAATTCTCAACAGAAGAAGTTCAAATAGCCAAAGGACATTTAAAGTCATGTTCAACTTCCTTAGTGATTAGGGAAATGCAAATCAAAACCACTTTGAGATAACATCTTACACCTGTCAGAATGGCTAAAATCAAAAACACTAATGATAGCCTATGCTGGAGAGGATGTGGAGTAAGGGGAACACTCATCCATTGTTAGTGGGAATGCAAACTTGTGCAACTACTTTGGAAATCAGTGTGGCGGTTTCTCAGAAAATTGAGAATCAACCTACCTCAGGATCCAGCAATACCACTCTTGTGAATATACCCAAGAGATGCCCAATCATACTACAAAAGCATTTGTTCAACCATGTTCATAGCAGCAGCATCTGTAATTGCCAGAACCTGGAAACAAGCTAGATGCCCCTCAATGGAAGAATGGATAAAGAAAGTGTGGAATATATACACATTAGAGTACTACTCAGCGGTAAAAAACAGTGACATTTTGAATTTTGCATGCAAATGGATGGAAATAGAAAACACTATCCTGAGTGAGATAACCCAGACCCCAAAAGATGAATATGGTATGTACTCACTCATTAGTGGACTCTAGCCATAAACAAAGGTCATTGAGCCTAGAGTTCACAAACCTAGAGAAGCCAAATAACAATGTGAACCCAAGGAAAAACATATATTGATCCTCCTGGAAACTGGAAGCAAACAAGATTGCTGGGCAAAAGTTGGGAGCATGGCGGTGGAGATAGGGGTAGGGATGGGGGAAGGGGTTGAGGGGGAGAGAGAAGGGAGAAGAAAAAGACTGGGGAGAGCTTGGGGGAATGGGAGGGTGGAGATGGAGGAAGGGCGGACATAGGATGGGGAAGAAGATATCTACATTATGGGAGCTATTTTAGGGCTGGCAAGAGACTTGGCTCTAGAGGGGATCCCAGGTGTCCACGGGGATGTCCCCAGTTAAAGCCTGGGACAGCAGTGCAGACGGTGCCTGAACTGGCCTGTCCCACTATCACGCAGATTATTATCTCGAATATCACCATAGAATCTTCGTCAGGTGAAGAATGGAGATAAAGACAGAGAGAACGTGAGCAAAGAAGGCAAGACCAGAGGGAACCTTCATCCTACGATGGATGGCGATACAGACGGAGACCCACATTGGAGCACAGCACTGAGCCCCCCAAGGTCCAAATGAGGAGCAGAAGGAGGAAAAACATGAAAAAGGAAATCAGGACCGCGAGGGGTGCGATCACCCACTGATACAAGGGGACTGATCTAATGAGAGTTCACCAAGGACAGTTGACTGGGACTGAAGGAGCACGTGATCCAACCAGATTCTCTGAATGTGGCTGGCCCAGAGTCTTTCTGAAAAGCCATTGACAATGACACTGGGACTTGTTTCTTCTGCATATACTGGATTTTTGGGATCCAGTCTGTTTGGATACTCACCTTCCTGGACCTGGAGGGAGGGGGAAGGAACTTGAACTTCCCACAGGGCAGGAAACCCTGACTGCTCTTAGGGATGGAGAGGGAAGAGGAGAGGGAGTGGGGGAAGTGGGAGGGTGTTGGGAGGAGGGGCGGAAATGGAAACTTTTATAATTTAATAAACTTTGAAAAAAAAAAAGACAGAGACCCTCATCAGAGCAATGGACTGAGCTCCCAAGACCCAGGTGAAGTGCAGAGAGGGAGAAGATGACCAAAGAAGTCAGGACCGTGAGGGCTTGGTCCACACACTG